CAGAGCCCTTAGGCTGGCACTTGGGAGCCCGCAGAGGGAAGGTACATGGCCCAAGGGGAAGGGGTTAGGGTTAGCCCCATGCTAGATCTCAGCTGTTGTAACATGTGGCAAGAAGATTAACTAGGGACATATTTTGGGAAAGTTGCAGCTGGTTTCCCTGACTGGGAATTGAACCCAGGCCACACCAGTGAGAGTGCTGGATCCTAACCACTAGACCATCAGGGACACATGAAACAAGTCTCTTTGCTCACCTACACTACCCTTTCGCAGGCCATTTTCTGTCCACTTCAGGATGAGGGGGGGTCCATTCCCTTCAACAACCAAACTGAACCAATGGATCTTGTGCCCACCTGACACTGCGCTGGGCTAGTGCTGTGTGTGCCACAGAGCTTCCTGCAGGGCTGCCCACATGGGAGAGGGGAGGGGCAGTTTGAGTCACCCAGCTCTGCCCTTCTGAAAATGGCAAGTGTTGTCTTAGCAGTGCCAGAGAGGTGGGAAGGAGCCTGAAGTAACCTCTTGGGTCACAGCTGCTGTCACATGTGACACTGATGTGAGAAAAGTGACAAGGCAGGCTGGTTTCCCTGACTGGGAATCAAAACCAGGCCACAGCAGTGAAAGTGAGTGAGAGGTGGGAAAGGGGCCCTGAGTGAACCTCTTGGGTCACAGCTGCAGTAACATGTGGTGAGGAAAATGACTAGGGAGCTCTTATGTGAAAGTTAAGGACAGTTTCCCTGACTGGGAATCAAACCCAGGCCACAGCAGTGAGAGTGCTGGATCCTAACCACTAGACCATCAGGGACACATTTTTTTGCTCACCTACACTAGCCTTTCACAGGCCATTTTCTGTCCACTTCAGGATCGGAGAGTCCATTCTCCCTTGCCCAGATGGGGCAAGAACAGCCCAAAAGAACATCAGTGCAGCCAGATTGGGTCATGTGAGTTGTCCAACTAGCCCAGGATCCTGACTCATGACAGCAGCCAATTGCATAGTCCCGAGGGAATTCTCAGGACAGACAGTTAAGTGATCCCTCCATTCCCAGGTTCTGGAATACACCAGCTAGGGACACCTCCCCTGTCCATCCTGGTTAAATGCCATTGATTGACCTTTCCTGCATTAAATTATCCAGTTCTTTTTTTGGACCTTCTTGTAGATTTCATCTTCACAACATCCTCTGGCAAGGAGTTCCACTGGGTGCAAAAATGCTTCCTTTTTAACTTGGTTACTTACCAGTTTCATTCTGTCACCCTGGTTCTTAAGTAGGTGAAAAAATAATTTCTTATTTGCTTTCTTCACCCCTGTCATCATCACATAAACCCCTGTCCCATCGCCCCTTGCTTGTCCCTTTCCCAAGCTGAGAAGAAGAAGTTCCATGAACTCCTGGGAGCTGCTTTCCAAAGAAGAGGCATTTCCAGCAGAGAAGATGGCCAAGCCCAATCCCCCTACACAAAGCCCCAGGAAATACCAGTGGAGATTGGGAAAGCTCCCTCTCGGGCAGCGCTACGGAATGGATCCGGCTGGCCATCGGGCTGACTAACGCCACCAACAGACGAGTCCCCGTGAGACTTCTCAGCCCAAGTGCAGAGATTGTGGGGTCTCCCGCTCCCAGCCCAGTGGCAGAGGGGCAGCGCCCTGAGGAGGCGGGTCCTGAGATGGAGGAGACCTTTGAAGGGAACAGAGACAAGGGAGACCTGAGGTGAGAGGAAGGGGAACAAGTCACCTCTTCTCAAGCAAGACATGGTGGGAAACTGCCGGTTCCGGTGCAAGCCGAGCTCCAAGGGCTGGTTCCTGCCCAGGTGGCTCTGCAGGGCCTGGCTTGAGAAGTGCCATGTGCGGCCAGGAGAGAGGGTGGGGAGAACGGAAGGTGTTGGAGCAAGCTGGGGCTTCCCCATCTTGGGGTATTTGAGCATCAGGGGGAATCTTACCTGGTTTTGTGTCCCCTTGCAGCAAAGGCCACAGAAGTTCCCAAGGCTGGAGGTGCTGCCATTGGCTTTGCACTATGTGGCTGTAATGCCCTGGTCCCTGCCAAGGTACCACTGAGGAGCCTCAACCTCAGAGCTGCCTCCTCCCATCTCAGACTAACCTGCCCAGCTGTCTCCCCGGTGCTCCTGACAATCAGCACACACATGCCACCTGCACTAGGGAGCAGGCCCTGGAACTGCTTGTGAGTACCAAAGGGAGCTGCAATAGGAGAAGATTTTTTGTTTCTGCCTGGCTTTGAGTCTGCCAGTAAAGAGTAGAAGAGGGATTGACACCATCACTGGAGAACGTGGGCATTGATCCCACTATCTCTCACATGCAAAGCAAGCATTCTACCACTTGAGCTAATTCCCCTGTTGCAGACACAGGCCAAATGTCGGCCCAAAAAAAGCAGCAGAAAAAGCTACACAAATTGGGTTTTGAAATTTGTGTAGCTTTTTGCAGAATAGCAGTGTAGTGTAGACACAGCCTGAGTGTTGCTCAGCACTAGTAGAGACAGGGAGGGACAAAACAGTCTAACGGCACCTGCAGCCTTTCAGAACAACCCCCAACCCCAACCCCAAGGACCAGCCCTTCCTTCCACCCTCACTGGGGTCTACTGGGAACTGTCTGGACTCAATCCACCCCAGTGTCAGCCTAAGGATTGCCAGGTCTGTAAAAGGTGCCCTGTAAATGAGAAAGCAGCTGAAGTGACACTCATGGGACTTGAACCCACAAGCTTTGAATGACTTGCTGGGCTCATATTGACAACTATAACTTGAAAGTCCAACATCTTTTCCATTGCACCACAGAAAGCGCTAAGCTTGATATTGCCACTCTCTAGAGCAGGGGGCTGGACTTGATGGCCTTCTGAGGTCTCTTCCAGCTCTACGGTTCTATGATTCTATGACTCTGCTTTGCAGCATGGCAATTACTGGGGGAAAAGAAAGGGGAGCCCTGATAGTGAAAATAAGGGGTGAGAACTGAGCTGCAGTTGGAGAATGTGGGCATTGATCCCACTGCCTCTTGCATGCTAAGCAAGCACTCTACCACTTGAGCTAATTCCCCTGCCAATGGAAGTCTCTGCTGCCCCACCCACCTTGTTCCAGAGCCCACGATGTCCCTGCAGCTGCCCAAAGCTCCTTTCTGAAAGGGCCACTTCTGGGACTGACACCTGTGGGCCGGCTAGCTCGGAGGTTTAGGGGACGTGGTGCTCATATCACACAGTCGCGTCTTAAGAGCAAGCCCCTTGTTTCAAACCATAATGGGCTCTCTATTCCAACCTCATGTGAACCTCATGGCAGGAGGAGTGAGGGACGTTTCGCAATAGCTGCTTTCCAGGCTCATGTCCTGCCCCTGGCCAGCCCCTTGGCATGTGTGAGCTGCTCCCCCTATGCCCCCTCACTCAGGGCTGGTTCTGGGGCTCAAGCAGGGAACATCAGAGGCTGCTCAGGGGGCCACATTGCTAGGCCAGGGGCCCTCCTGTGGGGCTGTGAGTGTTGCTGTCCCTGCTGTACAGACAGGGCCATAGAGCCAAGGTCACTCACTTTGCATTGGTCTCTTTTCTCTGGAACCAAGTTTAAGCCACAGCTGAGGCTCTGGGGAGGGGTCTGGGTATCAAGGGGTCTGAGTGTGGGAGGGGGAGTGTGTGTTCCTCTGGCTCAGCTTTTCCCTTTCTTCTACCCCGGCAATTGCCCTGCTGCAAAGCAGAGGGAGAGGATGAGGATCTATCTGAACTTTGGGGCACGGCAGCATATCAGCTTGCATGTTGGTGGTCTAAGCAGTAGTGCTTGGTCTGAACCATGTCAGTCATTCAAAGGTTGGGGGTTCACATCCCACCATTGTCTCTTTTAGCGGCTCTCTGATTTCCAGAGCTGGTTTCACAGAACAGGCTGGACCTGCCCCTGTTGCATGATGGGAGTGACAGGGAGCTTGTGACAGGACCTCTCTGGGTGCGAGAGACGTGCCTGTAGCTCTAGTGTCTGGCTCTGACACTCCAGCAGTGGAGCTGTCCAGCCTGATTCAGACCAGGCCGGTAGGATCCTCTCACGCTCATCAAGGGGGATTCTGCACTTGCCCTGGGGGAACCAGGCCAGGTCACATTGCAGACCTCCCCCAGGGCCGTCCCAGGGTGTCACCAGGCCAGCCTCAAGGCCCTTGGAAATGTGGCTGCGTTTTATCCTTCCCCTTTAGTAACAATCAGCCATTCCCCACCTAGCCCCAGCCACTGTGGGACCTGCTCCCTTCCCCAGGAGCAGTGTGAGCGCCAGCGCGGCTCCCTGATGAGGCTGCAGTGGTGGGAGACACGTCCCTGGTTTCGGGAGGGAGAGGAGACATCAAGGTCCATGACTCGGAGCCAGCTAGTGATACCCATGGAAAGCTGATTTTCAGAGGGGTCTGATCAGCCCTTCCTGTGTATCTGGCTTCTTCAAAGGGGCTAAATCAGGAGCTAAAAGTTGAAGAAGGGACATTTAGAAGGGTGAATTTCTGTCTCTGGGAACATTTTCTGTGTGCTCCAGTGGCCTAATGGACAAAGCACTGGCCTTCTAAGCCAGAGATTGTGGGTTTAAGTCCCACCTGGGGTGAATTTCTGTCTTTTGTCTGTGCCCTAGTAACCTAATGGGCAAAGCACTGGCCTTTTAATCCAGGAGTTATGCTTCAAATCTCATGTGGGGTGACAGTTTGCTCTAACTGACAAAAAACTTTGTGCTCTGAGAGAGCTGGCAAGGATGCTCCACAGTGGCTGTCTCTCTCTCTCTACAGAAACTGTTCAGACCTCTCCCTAGTGAACACTGGTGTTAGGGGCAGATCTGGTTGCTAAAAGCCCAGGTATCCACAGTCAGAGTGAAGGGGCACATTTTACTCTAGAAGGCCCACGAGTGACAGGCAGAGGGAGGTGGCTGTAGCAGAGCAGGGTCTGTCTGGAGACAAAGGGGACCTGAGGAATAGCCCCAGACCCTGAGCATGGTGCGGGCGAGGCCCATGGGGCAGTTTGCCTGGTGCGGCTTGGGGGGTGGAGAAGCTGTGAAGCTCTGTGAGTGGATAAGGTCTCTGGCTGAGCTGTGACACCTGCCGTGTGTGTGACTCAAATTGTCCCTCGTCCCCTTTTGTGTGTCTGTTGCGCTTCCAGCTTCTTTCCTCAGGCACGTTCATCCAGCAAAGACCCCAGCAGGGATCTTGTATCTTCCTTTGTGCAGCTCAGTCGCAGACACAGCAGAAGGGTTTTCCTGCAGCCACCGGCCCCAGCCCCTCTCTCCAGGGAACTGCAGCCCCTCGGACCAGGCAGCTGCTGCCAGCATTCAGGAGGCGCCAGCCAAGAAGAAACCGTCTGACACGGTGCTGCCAGGGAGGGGCCTCACTGCTAGTCGCTGTTCCCGTTCCAGGAGCGGAGAGAGTTTTGTCGTATGCACCAGTGTTGAGGGCATGAGCACCTGTTTGTGTGTGAGCCCCCATGGCTCCTGCCAGCTCCTGCTGGGGGGTGAAGGGTCCCTCCATCCCTTTCCAGCAGGAGCTATGGGGCCATGGGATCCTTCATGATCCCTTATCTCCTGATACAGTTTCAGTTTTTCCCTGGCGGATGCTCCAGACATGAGGGATGCCAGCGCACTGGCCCAGGCCGGGCCAGCAGTGATGGTTTTTACACATGCAGGGAAATTCCCCGGCTTCTCCCCCTCACAGAGCTGCTGCCTCTCCAGGAGGTGGATGAACTGCAGGTGCGGGACAGCTCCCTGCTAGCAAGGACAGCAGCCAAGGCACCAAATATCGCTGGGTCTGCAGCCAGTGTTGGGAACTGGGCAGGGAACAGGAGGCTTTTGTGTCACACACGTCTCAGGCAGGATGGA